GGGGCGTGGTGGGGCGTGGTGGGGTGCAGCGGGGTGCGGCGCGGCGGGCGCAAAATTGTCCTACGAACTTCATCTTTTTTTAAAAGAGCACCGCGAGAGTGCGTTAGACCTCAACTTGTGCGTATTTTGCACCTTGGATCAATATTTGAACCAACTAAGAAGGCATTGGTTCTTTCAGTCATCAGAGCCATTGATGCGCATAACACGGAGTATAATGGCCCTCCTGCCTTACTGCCAGCCACACGGCCATAAAATCTAGGGCCGCGCGGCCGGCGCGACGCGACGAGGCAGGGCGAGCGCAGCGGCGGCCGGCGCGACGCGCGACGCGGGACGGCGGGCGGGCGCAGCTCGTAGCGCTAGAACAAAGAGTCCGTTGCCGCGGCCCGTCGCCTCGGGGCGCGGTGCAGCACAACAGCGACCGACGGAGCAAGCAAGCACGGCTTTTCCCGCACTGCCCCAAAACTTTAGGCTGGCTGCTGGCTGGACCGCTCCACGTTCGGCTGCCAGCGCTACGGCGTTCGGCTGGCAGCGCTACGGCGTTTCTGCTTTTGACGCTGACAACTGACAACTTAACGCTTCAACTAACAAACGGACTTTTGCACTTTACTTGAGTACAAGCTGCTGATTACTACGTATCATCTGCTAAAAATGCAGCAGCAGCAGAGCAGGACGACTCGGTAGCGCTGCCCAACAGGTTGGGCACAAACACACAGCCCCGGGCCAGGCAGCCCCGGCCAGCCCCAGGCGCCGCCAGCACCATAACCCCAACTTTCCCAAGCAATCGCCTGGCCGGGGAGCTGATTAATGGCGGTGGGGCGAGATGAGGAGGAAGGGGGAGGCACGCGGCCGGTGTGACACGCAGCGGGCCGGCGGGAGCCACAGGATCAGGGGATCTAAGAGATGTCCGCACAACCGTGCGTTTTGAGGGGCCGCGGTGACGAATTTTTGCACGTGTTAGCTGGTCTGGTCGACGCCGATTCGCGCGCCTTTTCCGAAGTGGCGGGTTGAGTTCCAAATCCAGTGCCACCGCGTTGCCCCCCATTTTATTTACAAAAGTGGAGCAAAGTTTGCGGCGCCATTCACCTCAACTTGCAAAGGTTTGCTTGAAATAGATAACACGACATTCAGTGTGTTCCCGAAGGTCCCCAAACGTGTGGGCCCACAAACGGTTTTGACGGCGAGAGACTCTGCATTACAGTCAACACCGGACCGGCGGCCGACTGACTACCGGAGAGTAATAGGTCGGGTCGCTCGCCGGCCCCTGCGGCGGCCCGTCCGGCCGCCGCCAGTTCGATCGCCGTGTTATTTTCGAAAGCGAAACAATTTGAGGCAATTTCACGGAAATGATCTATAAATGCGCGCTCGGAGTTATGCCCGAGGGGGGAAGGGGAGGGGGCAAAGCGCGGTATTCCCTGGAACATACGCGCTGACCTCGACCTGCGAATGGCAAAGGACAGGTGCAGCGTGTCTCCAGAAATTACGTCCGTTTTCCTCAGATTCATCCGGCAAAATACGGGCTCTCGACCCCTGCGGGACTCGGGGTAGACCACCCCGCCGTACACGCATGCACTGCAGGCAAGATATTGCCTACCCACCGGGCGCTCTGTGAATCTGCATAAACTTAACTTGACGAATTCGGAACGGCGATTGACGGACGTGATCCCTTTTCCCGCAAGTCATTGTGCCCAAGCTTTTCCACGCACTCACAACTGGAACCGCTCGATTCCAGATCTGCAGCACTGCAACGGTAACACCCCTTCCCCTGCTTTTCCCCGCGCAACTGCGCAGTCCAGTCTCCGCTCAGAGCCAGCCGCCCCGCCCGGCCCGCTCCCCGCGGTGCTCCCGCGAGCAGCGCCCACTCCGTGACTCGAAACGAGATCAAAAATGTTACTTCTGAGCCGGAAGGCGGGGCGAGGCGTGCCTGAGGGATCTGCCCCAGACTGCGGGCCCGCGCGGCTGGACCAACGCGGCTTTTCTCCAACGGTATGGACGGAATCGCTTTCGACGGGATCCTCGTCGGCTCCCCCTGCAGGCGCGGGCGCCGCGCGGCCCGCAGCGTGTGCAGCTCGCGGGGCACGCGCGCACTTCCTCTCCGCACAAGGGCTCGAGGTAGCGGG